TCTGCGAGATAAACGTTTGGAAGATTTACGGCGATAACTATATACTAAGTTCAGCACCTCGACTACTATTATTTTAATTCTCTATATATTACACAACTGCACAATTCCAATTTCCAAATAAAACTCATCAGATCTTTTCGTAATAAGAATGTAAATTTCGTTTCGCACCACACTAGTATTTATAAACGATTCGTATATTACTTATTTATAAATGTCAATACTTCTAAGGAATATTTGCGTATCTTTTCGGAAACCGGTTTTACAACTTTTTAGATGAATTTCATATATGAACTAACTATCGCCCGCGTCTACGTATACGCGGGATATAAAAACAGATAGTAACCGACTCTCAGACGTATTAATTTGCATATAAAATCTATTAGTAACTAACACTGACACCTCAAAGGCCGGTAACGCATCTGCGGTTCCTCTGGTATTGCTGTCCATGGGCGTCGTTGAACACCTCGGTGTTCCCGCTGCTCCCTTCTGTTATAAAAAAAAACATTGTGACATGAGAATTTTTATATAAAAGATTAACATACTCTACTTTAAATAGAAAACAAAGAACTACCCAATAAGAATCCAAACCTTCTCGGGTAAACGTGTAACATAAGTAGAAATGACCCAATAACTTGTGCCATTCCGTCTGTACTGAATGTACTCAGACTTCCAGTGTCCAGTGTTAGAGGTCCGACCTCTGTAACTGCCTCACGCAACGACACGCGGACAAGGGCCATACGATATGTTGCAATTCAACTATTGTAGAGTAGAGCGGTCACTTCGTGATGCCAAAGCTACCGGTTAAGGCAGAGTATACGCAATTAACTAATATATTACAATAATTATTATTAACTACTCAATCGTTAGAACATCACTAGCTATCGCATGCGACTTTGGCAGCGCGGAATGAAAAAGTAACTCCCACATAAATCAACTACCTTCCGGTAAAAATCTCTTCAAAATAGGTACCGCCGTTTCGAAGATTAACAAACGCGACATTGCAGACGGACAGATAAAAAAAATTGGTTATAAGTAGTACAGCATCATGTTCGCGTAATATGAATTTATTTTATCGCTATTACCACAGCGTCGGTGGCTCAGTGCTCAAGCACTTGACTTGCAATCTGCAGGTCCTGTGTTCGAATCCCGCCATGTACCAATGTGTTTTTCGATTTCCGATTTATCCGACGTTCTTACGGTGAAGGAAACATCGTGATGCAACCTGCACATATCTGAGAAGTAATTCAAAGATATCTGTGAAGTCAACCAACCCGCACTTGGCCAGCGTGGTTGACTATGGCCTAATCACCCTTAACTTAGGCTAGGCTCCGAGCCCCTCGGTGGGGACGTATAGTGAGCTGATGATGATGATGATTACCACATATATATATATATACTGTACATAGAAAAATTTCAATTCAAATACTTGATATAGGTAAATACAAATCGTAAGTTTGCATTTTCATATTATCCTTTCTCAATTATTTTTATTTTTTATCGTAAAAATATACCTTCGAGACACTTTCATAATTTATACAAAAGTATTGTCATCCTTTTTAATCTCTTTGACAAAACAGAGAGGAAGATATGTCAGCCCACACCCCAATTCCACAGTTAGAAATATCAATAGCTTTAGTGTATTTCAAAATACACGCTTTCTTAACATATAACCTCAAATTCGTTTAATAACATATCATTAAATTAATAAAAGATCAACTGTGCATGAAATTCGAAAACTTTCTAAACAACGCACAAACTCCGCCTTAAGCATAAGTAAACACTGCAATAATGAACCGTACCTCATGATTGTTGTCTCAGCAGATATTGGCCTGTAACACTTGTCTACATAAACTACTGACATGATACCAACTTACCTAATTAAGCTGCGAATGGATATTGGATAGAAAGTTGGGACTAATGTAATTCTGTACTTAACTAATTTTATAACTATTTATATGTAATCCTAAGAGAGATAAAGTATATATACGTAGATTAATAGGAACTTCTTAACCGTAAGGGTTTTATAGAACAATGAAGAGAAGATTTATAAATCATTAAGACACTTTTAAATTCAATATAGCAATTTCATGACGCAAATACTTTCTTTTAAGTAAACACTTATCTTACAACTTAACTTATTGTAGTCACAAAAATTACAAAGTTCCAAGTCGCAAGTTTATGTGGTCATACAAAATACAATTGTAACAATAGAGTTGCTTTGCCTATTGCATTGCGAAAGGACCAGACCGCCTGACCGCCACCGCATTGCAACCACTTAGCCGCGGTCACGGTCTTCTTGCGTATCTTATTTCGCTTATTAGTTAAAATTAGAAGAAAGAAATCGTGGTTGCGAAATATCAAGGAATGGACGAATGTTACCAGCGTGGAACATTTATTTCGCTTGGCACAAGATCGGCGAAAGTTCACTGAGCTGACGGCCAACCTCCATTAAAGGGAATGGCGCCTGGAGAGTGAGAGAGAGTTAATAATTTTCTTATAATTATCCTATCGGATGTCTTTCTTACAATATTCACTAGTTTTCAGAGTTCTTAGAATCAAGTAAGCTAGAGGAACGTCTTTAAATGTTATGAATAAAAAAAAGCTAATAATAGTCAACCACACGATTACAGAAGTCGTATTCGTATCTGCTTATTTGTTAAGTAACAACATTGAAACAAGATAAAGAGCTGAAAGCTACTTCTTACAAGAAAACCTTGGATTTCTAAAATTTAATTAACTGCTTGTTATATTTGAGTATTTCTTAGATAGAATATGTTATTTAAGTCTGCTTATTGCTATATCTATATATATAAGAATCAATTGCTGTTCGTTAGGCTCGCTAAAACTCTGAATGGCTGAACGGAACTTGATCTTGTAATGTTCATGGAGGTCTAGGGAAGGTTTATAAATTGAGAAAAATTTGAATAATCGCAGGGAACTAAGTTCTTTTTCATTTTACGCGGATGGAGTCGCGGGCGACAACTAGTCTTGAATTAATATTTAATGTATATACAAATAATACGATGCAAACTTCTAGTCATATACTACTAATGTGGTAAGTGTCAAAGGACCAATGTAATCCTATATCAAGTATGTCGAGTATCTAATTCCTTGAAACTACACACGTCAAAGCACTCCAGTGTACTCTAATTGCATCAAAGTGTTTCCCTGATTTACGAACATCAAGATCTCTGTATAATTAGACAAAATATGCAGGTTTCTTGGAGTAATGTAATGGTAGACTAGTTTGAGAGCGACGGTGGCTCAGGGGTCAAGCACTTGACTTGCAATCTGCAGGTCCCCGGTTCGAATCCCACCATGTACCAATGTGTTTTTCGATTTCCGATTTACATATGTACATTTATCCGACGTTCTTACGGTGAAGGAAAACATCGTGATGCTACCTGCTCATTTCTGAGAAGAAATCCAAAGATATGTGTTAAGTCAACCGTCCGAGCTCCGAGTAGGCTCCGAGCCCTTCAGTGGGAACGTATTGTGAGCTGATGATGATGAGACTAGTTTCAATATTTCTTTTTAGAATTATAAGCCCATTTTTTGTTACACTCAAGAGGAAATGATGGGGGGATGTTCGTTAGAAGGTATCCCCAGAACCGCTAAATAAATCTCGTTGAAATTTCGCAAAGAAGTAGAAAATAACCTGGATGAACACTCAGACTACTTACTATGTTCTTTTAACCCCAGACGAAGTCGCGTGCAACAACTAGTGTAAAGTAAAATATACCAGATGTTATTTTGATCATTTCTAATCTTATTCACCGCCGGTGGTCCTAACTCCCAGCGTACCGAATTCATCAAATACCAAAATGCCACCCACACTATATATCAAGTCCTAGGCATTGTTCTGTGGTGCTAACCAGCTCCCGACTCGCGATGGATACGTCTCGTCTGTGGCCTAGACGGCATAACTCGTCGGAATGCCTGTGACGTCACGTCTGCGTACTACGCCGACTGGCAGCACGCCAAACGTCCCGCTAAAACTAGGGCTGCTAATTCGAGAAATATGTGAACACAAGGTGCTACTCGAATGCGTATCCTCGATATATTATAGTGACATCAGGTAAAGCTTAAGCGAATATAAGGTTAATCAAAATAATACGCTGAGCTGATTATGAATACAATTTTAGACATCTTCGTTCGCTGTTCGCGTGATTTCTGAGTTACATTTTTAATTCACTTTCAAAATGGAGCACATTCTCAATTTGCCTAGATGTTTTTGGTAGAGTTCTTCTAAAATCTATATAAATGTAGAGTTTTTAAAAGACGTAACAGTACTTAATTGTGTCTAATACAATTCTGATTAAGAATCTGAGTGGAATCATGACACGTTTTATACGAAATACTCCAGGCTAGTAAAGGACACGAGAATCAAAACTAAAGTTAAATATTAATTTAAGATTAATCTAATATAGCATTGCCATCCCTACATTACAAACGTGGTATACTCTCGCACGCACAGAATCTAACAAGAGTACAACATAAAGAGTCCGAAACGTTTGTCAGTTGTTTTGCCGTCCACTAATTATCCGGCATAGGATGCCAACAATCGGAGCATCGCTAATTATTCCATGGTCGCGCTTTATTTCCATCACGACCAGTCTAGACGATCAACCCGCAATGCATTTCTTGGCGTAACTCGATTGTAAAACTAAATTAAGAACTTGAACTATTGTAGTATTTGCGAGACCGATAACTTTGATGTCTTATTTATTTGCAAGTTTATTGCTTTCCAAATATAAGTTGCTTCTTGCTCTTGAACCATGTTACTCCTTTTTTTGTTAATAAGTATAAAATGACAACGTGTTCAATACAAGAGTCGTGGTAGTTAATTTCTTGGTTAGTCAACTTTGCAGGAATTTCCAGGTATCACGTAGAGATCACGTTAGGTGAATTTTAGGCCAGGAAGTATGCAAACTTTCGTGATACATTGTAATAATATATATGTTGAGGCTAGCAATATAAATAAAACTTCATTTTTTATTTCAAATTTTAATCACAGTAAATTTAAAACCATATTAATGTATATATCTAAACTAACCATAATTTAAACAGGATTATCGCCTACGAAATAGAAAGGCTTATTTAAACAAAATATTGTCATGAAAATTGAAACGGAATGCTATTATGGGTCTTTATAAAAAGATGGACTTAATGAAAACTTCGAGCATTTTTGGAACAGCAACAATCATTATCATCGTAAGATCGACATTTCCTGATCGGCGGTTTACATTTGTTGGCAACATTTTGTTCTGAAACTCGGACACATTCAGTCGACGTACATTTGAATTTTGGTCGTTTATTCAAATTGTACCAGTAATCAGCTTTTGGTTCATTAGCGTACTTGGGTGAGGATACAGATAAGCACGAACACGATCTTTTCAATAAATTCTTAATATGCTTCCTTGTACACGATGGCATCGGAGATTTGTTTAATCTGTAAACTTGTTGGTTCTGCGCAAGACTACATTTTGAACAGACTCTTTTTGGCTTGTTTTTCCTTCTTCCACATTTCTGACAATGATCAGAGGCACTTGGATCAAATTTAATACTATGGCTTCCTTTGACGGAAATAACAGAATCCTTTGTATCCAAAGAAATGCCAGAGTTCATTTCAATATCAAATGTCAATAATTTTTCGGCAACATCGGATTTTTTTATATGTTTGCATGGAGGACTTTCTTCTACAATAGCACATTGGATCGCCGAATTACTTCCTGAACCAACACCCTCACTTTTATAAGACACAAAATCTAGTGATGACCCAAAAGAGAAACCTGAATATGAAATATTCTTTTCCACGCATTCAATATCAGCTTGGCACGTTTTCATAACACAAGATTTCCAGGAGTATGTAGATGTTGTCGAGTTAGACATTAAACTAAGAACATTATCTGCTTTTTGTTGAGTTACTTCCTTATTCACTTCAGGCTCAGATGGTTTTAGGAATGGAACATATACATTCTTAACTGAATCTATCATTCTTCTGATTAAAGAAACATCATTATTTTCGCTTGGAACTTTGCTTGTTTTGCTGCAGGTACTTCTACACCAGCTTTTCTTCTTATTAATTTTATTTTCACTTTTGCCGGGACAAATTCTTGGTACCGATCGTTTACTCGTTGTTATATGTATAGTTTTAGGCGCAATATTTTTATCAGTCACACCGCTCGACTTCCACATTACTTCAATACCTAAGGTCCCTGAGTCATTTGGGACGTGTATTAAAAATCTTTGTTTTCGTTTGTTAGCAAATGAACAAGTACTCTGAGATTGAATATTACATGGCTTTATTTCTTCATAAATATTATTAGTGAAAGATACAGAACAAGGTAGCTTCAATCCTAAATTATTTTTAATGCATGAGCATATGCAACTTTTGGGAACTTTTTGGAATATGTAATCGTATTTTGGATTTGGAGAAATGCATGAATCTTCAATCAGTTTGTTAATTTCTTGCTTCTTTTTAATATTAGCGTTTTCGAAATCACTTGTTTTTGCTTGTTCGATTTTATTAAGGTTTTCTTTATAAGGGTTATCATATACACATGTGTCATAAATTGTTCCAACGTTTCTACATTTTTCACAATTCGATTTAATCGTTTCTATAGACTCCAACGCCTTTCGCAATAAACAGGTAAAATCACTTCTACTTCTTTCTGTATCTTGTGTGATTTCAATAGTCTTACTCGGCTTTGATTCATTAATCTTACTAATTTCGTGAAGTCGTAAATGACTTGTTCGTCGTGCTAATTGAACAGGTTTCTTACCAATTTTAGTCGATACGTAAGTAAATTCATTTTTTTGTTTGCACGCTTTTTTAATCATTTTATCAATTTTAATATAACTTGGATTAAGACATTGATCTGGATTACATACAATACACGTTTGTAATCCACAGCCACTATTTTCTGGATTTGTAGGTAACTTTTCGACTTCAAAACGTCTTAAATCACTAATTGGTCGTGCTAATTTCTCGTCACACGACACTTTGTCTTCAAGGTTATTTGGTACATACGTAAAAGAATTTTTTTGTACCCATGAATCTTTAAACATATTTTCAATTTTAATTAAGTTTGGTGTTTTCGTAAACTGATTTGATTCACATTTTTTGACAATTGCATTATTATTGGAATCTGCAAACTTTGACATTTGTTGTATTCTTAAATCCGTTGTTCGACGTGCCAATTCACAAGATGGTTTGTTTGTAGGCTTATTGAGGACATAAGTAAATTCATTCTTACGTACGCAGGAATCTTTGAACATAGTATTTATGTCAACAACATTTAATATTTCTGAAGCCTTTTCTAAATCGTCCCTTTTCACATCGTTAATTGAATCACATGTACAACACTGGGCATCACGTTTCTCCTCTTTTTGAGGTATTTTAATATCGATCTTATTGAAAATGCAATTAGAGGGACCTTTAAAAATCTGTTTTATATCTTGAAATGTAGTTTCACTTGCTCTTTGTACTATATCAGCCTTTCGACACTCAACTTCGTTGGGGAAATAAGTGTGTTCACTTCTATGTTTGTACTGTTCAAATACTGCAGTGACTCCTGTTTTATTACTTTCGTAATCAACATTATCTGTTGACGTGCATGCATCACATATTGTATAAATGTAAATTATATCGGTTGATGTTTTCTTATCCATGTGGTTCACTTCATTCTTGTATACATATTTAAACTTATATTTACCACTGTTCATACTTCGCACAGACTCTTTAAGCAAATTACTGATTTCCTTCAATCTTGTTGGGCTTTCTTTTTGGAAGTTTGATTTTTTAAATACAGTATTGTTAAAAACAATTGATAATTCATCATCCATCGTGCATGTTTGTTTGCAAATTTCTTTACATTCCTCGTCATTGCTTAAAATTGCTTCCGATATTGTACTACATGTACAGGAGTATTCATTAACATTTTTGCTAATATTCTTGGTATTAGCAGTTTTGGAACTTCTAAAAATGTATGGAAAATCACTTGGTTGCTTGCAATTTTCAATGAACATTTCATTAATCTTTTGCAACGTATCCGTACTGTTTGGTTCATTTATAATGTTGTTAAAAACATATGGGAAAGGTCTATTATGCTTACAAGCTTCTTTAATCATATTGTCTATTTTTACTGTATTTACATGATTTAAAATATAAGTAAATTCTGTTACGGGTTTGCGAATATTTTTAAACATGTTTTCAATTTCTGCAGTCCTTAATGTGGCGTCTTTGTTTGGTTGATCTTCTATTTCAGTTTTGACCGTACTAAAAATATACGGGAAGTCAACTTTATTCATGCAAGAACGTTTAATCATAGCATTTATTTGAATATTTTTCAGATGATTGAAAATGTAAGTGCAACTGTATGAACGTTTACAAGCATTATTAAATAAAGCACCAATTTCAACTGAATTTGTATTACAAGGAATACATGGTGTCTTCGTTGATATTTTACTAAAAATATATGGAAATTCGGGGTTATCAAAGCAGGCCCTTTTTACCATATTGTCAATTTCATTTCTTACATAACTACTGAATATATAATCAAACATTGTAGTACGTGTAGAACATTCTTTAAAAAAATCAGTATTTAGATCTGGATGAGACTCTTCTATATTTTTATCAAGTAGATCGTGTCTTACCTTTTCCACTTTGCTAAAAATATATGAGAAATCAGGCGATTGCAAAGCAGTACTTTTCCGGTCTTCCGAATGCGTTATATTTGTCACTATAATATTATTAAATATATAAGCTGTATTCGTCATGCAAGTGCCAGCATTCTTAAACATCGATTCAACTTCAACGCCTACTGTGTTACAGGACTCAGAACATTTATCAGCAGTTACGAAATCGTCATCATCAAGGAGTTCACACATACAAGTGCTTACAGATTTCTTTGGTTCTGGTATTTCAGGTAAATCTGCATCAACCATACATTTGTTTTGCTGATCTGTTACGTCACATATACATTGGGAATCTCTTAAGTCCAACAAGATATTCGTAGGCAAATCACAAAAATTGACACTGATAGACGAGACTAAAGGTAGTCGCGTATCTTTGTTATTATTATTTTCTTCAAAAGCTTTATCGTTTATAATAATATTGACTTTACGATCGCTAGGGTAGCAACACGTTATAGTGTTCATCTTTTTTGTATTTTTCATGCTCCCAGCAGAAATACAAGATCGTAAATTAGGTTTATCCCACAGACACTTACTACATACAGGTTCAGATCTAGAATCTGGTGGTTGATAAATCAATTCTGGTTTTTTATAATTGTCATTCTGATCGTTTACGTTCTCAGGTCCACAACTTTGTCCACTTTCACTACTTGAATCTGAACAGGAACATTCTAAATTTTGATCATTGTCATTGTTTGCATTTTGACTGTTAACGGATTTAGTTTTCATAGGGTTTCTCTTGTCTGTCCTAACCGTAACTATTTTTCGTTTCTGTCGAACAGTACCATCTTCGTTGGCTATTCGGGATACTTTTATAATTTCTTTGTACTTACTTTCGTAACTTCCCAGTCTATTTTCAACTTTAGAATTAACACTGAAAGTGCTATCTTGGATAGAAAGTTTACTAAATTCTGTAGAATATTTGCGTATGTTTTGTGAACAAGCAGCAACGTTTTCTTTTTGATTCATAGGTAAATTACAAGCACATTCGAAAATTATTTCTTCCAAAACTTTCTTTAACCAAGTCAGTATAATGTTACTATTGCAAGGCGGAATATCTATTGGAATCTTTATTTCTTCCTCTTTGGGCAACTTGGTGTCCTGTATTTTTTTATCTGGTTCTATATTAAAGCTTTGATCAGGTATTTCAGCTTGACATACCTCTTGTGTTGACATAAATATTGGAGAGCATGAACAAATATTTTCATCCATTGTTTTATTCCACGTTTCGTCAAAGTATGGCGCATTTCCAAATGTATCCTCATTGCTTGGTTTATATTCGCCTCGGTTCTTTAATTCATTTGTGTCCTTTTCTTCTATCTTATTAAAGTTTATATTGGGTTCCTTCATATATTCTTCTATCTTTTCCTTTGGTATTTCTTGCTCTTCATTAATTTTTCCTAATTCATTGAAGTCTTTAGGACGTTTCATTTCTTTTTTATCATCAAATTTAACTTCAAATGACGGAGGCGTTGCGGGTGGAACGTTTTCTTTACCATCTGTATTCGCTTCTTCTTTATCCGCCGCGTCTTTACTTTGCTTTTTAATCTTTAACTCTTTAAAACGTTTTAATCTGAAATTATCCTCCCTCTCCATTTCTTCTAATTCAAATAAAATATAACGTATGCTCAGCATTGCACGTGGCATAACCGACTTTGAAAGTACATTCAATCTCCTGCAAAAAGATTCACTTTCCTTTATATTCATTTAAACAAGGCCACCGATAAAATACCCTTTACAATTTACCAATAAAATATGTATATACCCTGTAATATGGTACAAAAGTATATGAAAAATAAATAACGTACATGTTATTTAATACCAGCATTTATCAAGCCTTATTAAATATTTCGGACTGAACGAGAGCTTCCTAATAATTTTAGACAACGTAAAGTATACTTAACGTATAGGTTAATACCTTACTGTACATTTAATTATTTATGAAAGTATTGGTGCCCGTGTAGATTATATTGTAATACAAATAATACAAGTATTGAAAAGGCAAAAATTGCAATCCTTGACTAATTTACTTTTCTCGCAAGATAACATATTTAGTTGTGACCCTGAATGGGTCTATAATTATTTAATAACAGAAGCATTAATTAAACAATTGAAAAATGTACAGCCTAAAATAATTTTTAAATCACAGATTAAAAAAATTGCAATATTTTTATTTAAGGAGTAAATATATAAACATTGGTTGTTAATATTGAAAAAAAAATCTCATTCATTTGCAATAAATAAAAAAATACTTACAAAGAAAATCACTAAACGAATTGTTATGTTTTATTCAACTAATTTAATATCTGCTTTCTCCAAAAGGAATAAGAGGAATTATAGTTTATTTTTGTATATATTTCTCGGCAATAACGCAATGTTATACAATTTTTATATATTAATATGTTGCATTTTATTTTACCTACACAAGTTACATTTGTAAAAATGGTTGTAGGGAATTCAAATCAATTTAGTACTTCTTCTTCTTCTAGATCTATGTCATCATCTCGATCTATATCAACAATATCTCCAACGGGATCGTGTATTTTCTCTGTTACAATAGTAGTTTCTATTTCCTCCCGTACGGTACCATCACTGTTGGTAAATCGTTTAATTTTTGAAGTCTTAACTTTCCTTTCGAAGTATCCACCTGAACTCTCTGCTGAAATATTGTTTTTCTCAATATTCGATTCGCTCTTCTGTTTCGATTCTGTTTCTATTTCCTCTTTTACAATATCATCTGCCTTAATATCTTTGTCAACGTCATCCTTACTATCATCTTTGCTTTCTTCATCACTATGAACGCAACCACATGTTTCACATTTCCCTTCGCACAGACAAGTTCGACCATTTTCATTTTGTTCAGTTATCTTTTTTAAATTATCACTCAATGTTACACAGGCGTTTATAAAGTTTTCGATATCTCTAGATATACAATGTTTTGTAAATGCCTTAGCCACGTTTTTAGTTTGATCAATTTTTTGTAACAACGACATTAATATTTGTTTATTTTTTTCGTTTCCAGTCAAATCTGTTGTGCCTGATGAGAAATATGTGGTTATAGGCAAAAGTACAGGAGACTTATGTCGGTCATAACAGTTTTTAGATTTCTGTAAAACGCTTGAAAAATATTGAGCTAATTTAGAACAATCCTCAACATCGATCGTTGAACCGTGACCGTTTGATGCATTCCCTTCGTCACTTCCAAGTCCGTTGTTAAATTTACAAATATTACCTGCTAAGTTAAGTACAAGATTTTTAATTTCATCACACTGGTTATTTTCAAAATGTAAGCTTCTTGAAGATATTGTGTTACTTAATTTTGAATCAAAATTTATAGTCCTATTTTCTTTTATATAATCGATTGTTAAACTTCGACGATTGTCAAAGTTATATTCAGTAAAGTAATTTTGTATTAATAATAGAATTTTGAAAATATCGTATTCACATAATTCTTTGTGACTGATCAATAGTTTCATAAAATCTAGTAAATACTCGTTGCTTGAATTTTTTTCCATTGCATAAAATATGAAATTCGATATTTCTTTCGTAGTATCTTCGCTTATATTTATACTGAATGATTCGATTTTCTGATTATAAGTTATCTTATAATATTGTTTAACATCTCGTATAAATGATTTGGTACATTTGTGAGTTTTGAAATAATCTATTAAATTATTCCTTAACATTATTTTAAGATCGTTATACGTTTGTTTTTCATTAAGTGACGAAGACGTAATTGAATAACGTGCCATCCGTGTCATTAATATCTCGATATTTTTCCTCTGCCTGCGGACAATCACTTATCTTAATATCGCATATATAAAAATATACAAAATTTTTCTTTCTAAAGGTAACTTCTAAGGACTATGCGTAAAAATATTAAAGAGTTTAATAAATTTGAAAAATCCTATTTTGGTCATTGTATTATTTACAATGTTTACTAAGCAATTTTTTTATTTTATGTTACGTGAGACATTTAAGTCCTTGTTTGGCGTCGGCACCGACTTGTCTGACGGCCGCGAAATATTATACCAGTCCAACTCACCGTGATGAAGGGCCCCCAATGGGCTCGAAACTAGTCGGTGCCGACATCGTCAATTGCGTAAATGTTCAACCATTTATATATTTGTTCAGAAAGCAATGTTTAAAGTTTTGATTTGATTCTAATATTCAAAATAGTAAAATGATCGTATTGTATTTTTAAGAAATGTCAACTCTTATTAATAGTAAATTTTACAATATTTTAACTACAAGTCATTGTAAAAAATTTAATTTACATGTAAATTTAGTAAGAAAGAAATTCCAGTTATTTTGCTTTTGTTATAGATTGTCATTTGTAATTGTCGTGTGATTGTATATCATTTAAAAAGTGCTTTCATTTCTTCTGTTTCGAACAGATTTTTTTCATCTAACTGATACTTTTCGTAGAGTTCTTCAATATCTTGAACTTTAAATACTTCACTCGATAACTCTTTACAAATTGGACAATTCGTACAAAAATATTTAGATTTTAAATATTCCATGTCTATATTTAGACTAGATTCTGATAAATCGTTCTTTAATAATAAACTGTCACATAGTACAGTATTTAATTGTTTATCTATTTCCTGCACTTTTGTTTGCTGCGTTGGAATATTGCAATTTTTAATTTTCATCATTTGTATTCTTGTTTCACGCGAAGGTGTAGATTTCGAAGAAGACGTAGACGGTTCATATAACATCTTATCATTTGGGACACTTATATTACTTGCATTTTCAATTATTTTAGTTTCCTTTTGTATCTTTATAGTTTTCTTTACTTCTCTGTACGTGCCGTCTTTATTTCTGATTCTCACTATTTTAGTAATTTCTTTAATTTCTACTTCAACTGGGTCCATATTTTCCTTTTCATCGGGAGGCAGCGCTACTTTTTTATCTGGTTCTACTTTATCTTCTGCTGGTATATCTGCCTTGGCATTGTCTTTGTTATCTGGTTCATCCAACTTTGGTTCTGGTTTTATACTCTCGTACAATTTGTTCTTAAGCTCTTCGCCTAATTCTAAAAAATCTTTGATATCCGCCTCAGAAAACTTTTTATCATCTATACTATTGACTAATTGTAATATATCCTTAACGTGGTCATTCATCGCGAGGCGCATTGGTTTATTTTCATCTTCTTCGCAAATAAACGAGCAGTCTTTTGAACATTCATCAGTGTCTTTTCCACCTTTTCCCTTTACTTCTAAAATCATCTTTCGTCGATAAAATTCGTCTCTGGCCAGTTCTTCCAGAGCGTCAATAATGTACGTGCACGTTGCTTTACATTTTGGTACAACCACTTTTCCTAAAACGTTCATTTTCCTGCGGCAAATAACTTTATTTGTAGACAACATCCATCTTGAGACTACTAAAAATCTTGTCCCTCCATAAGGACTGCACGGGCTTAAATAACTTGACAGAATATTTTCCATATTTTCTTTAAAGCTTTGTAGAGTTTGGTGTTAACACATTTAATAAAAAAAGGAATATTATAAGTAGTTACAACAGTAAAAAAAAAACATCACAAATTAAATACAAGTATCATCGCTACATTGTCAAGGCGGTGTTAAAATATTAAAGGATAAATAAGAAAATTTAAACGTGCGATATCTTCTTATCTTAATGTTTCACTGCCTTATTTTACCCTATTTTTTAACAAACTTTATAATAAAACTATAATCAACAACCAAAATCATTGCAATATTTAATAAAAAGTTCCCGCCCAGTCCTTAGAGGGGAAGGGTAATAAATCGGCAGCTTTATGATGAAAATACTAACTACATGAGAAAAATAGCAAATTAAATAGACAACAAATAGGCATATTTCCGAAAATGCTTTTTAGATCGACACATTAAATTTCGTTGCGAAATAATAAACCGTGAGTTTCCGAGACCAAAACCTCTGTATAAAACATAGGTGTCCAGTGTAACGAAGAATTAATTAAAAAAATCTACTGAACTAGTTTAGAGAAAATTACGTAAGTATGACATTACTATAAAAAAAACAGTTTTTTTGCCACAAAAAAATTTCTTCGAATTAAGGGTTTAACAGAGATTTTGATATCGAAAACTCACGGTAAATTAGATGAAAACAAAAATTTATTTAAATTCTTTTCAACCAAGCAAGTAGTCGTAATTACCCGACAGCCAAATTCATTATTCGGTTACTCCTTTTAGTTACGATTATGAAAACTGAGGTTATCTGTTACTATAAAACAAAAAACCTCCAACGTCCTAGTGAACTGGATGGAACTAACGAACTACGATAATATTTAATCATAAGAACTTTATATCACTCACTTGTTGGCAGATTTTTGCATTTCTTCGACCAATTTGAAATTCTTACGAAGCTCCACCATTAATATAATACGTTTTAATAATTCAAGCCAAGCCTTTTTCGTATCTAAAATCATCTGACCTCCCTTCCCTATTCCAAGATGTTCATATGGGTGAGTGTTATTCTAGAAAAAGATTAAACATTTATTATCCTTTATAGCTGTCGCCCGCGACTCCGTCCGCGTATAATTAAATAAAAACATAATTAGTTCCCGACAGTTATTCGATTTTTTCTCACCTTTTAAACCTTCCCTAGACCTCCGCGATCATTTGAAGACCAAGATAAGATAAATCCGTTCAGTCGTTCTCGAATTTTAGCGAGACTAACGAACAGCGATCTTTATATATGTATATATAATAGATTACTTATAACATTGGATATTTCGAGAAAATTATAAATTATCACCGGCAAGTATTTATCGTTATTCAAGATGGCGGAGTAAATCTATACAGTCGACATGTGGACATGCCTTAACTGACCGAATAGACATTGCGCGTGGAACGATACTCGGAACGTAAGCATACTACGCGACATTTACGTTGCCTCTACGGAGGATTGCCCATAATAAAAGATTGAAAACTTTTATTAATACTATAGTAAAATTAGTTGTCACTAAAGTAAATGACGTATTACTACCGTTACAAGATTTGGATTCATACAGAAACTATATTGTTCAATTCTAACACTTCCTAGCTTTTTTGTCCTACAATCTTTATAATTTCTTCAAATACTTTTTGCTATCTTAGTTTCCAGTTAAGTTAGAAAGAGGAAAGATTTTATTGTTTGCACTGAATAATCCCCGAAACTATTGAACTGATTTAAAAAGTTCTTTCACTGTTGGGAAGCTATAATATATCCCGGGGTGTCATATAGCCGGCTATATTTATTACTAGTTTTTTTTTCCGCGCGGTGAAAGTGCAGGAATGATTATTAGGTATTTAATAATGGCGCATGTCAAAGATAACATAAAAATAATATAACATAAATATGTCAAACTTACTTCTATTATTGAATACTTTACTATTTTCACTCCTGATGCGGTTCTCGTAGATGATGTCACACATATTTCAGCCTGAAAAATAATCGACCAGTATCATTGAATGATTTGTTAAAAACAAAACAAAATATTAAAGTTACATAAAAACTTTTACACATTTTAGGCAAAACTAGAAAGAAATCGCTTTTTAATTCAGTCGCGTGATAACCACAGATATGACAATGATAGTCATATACATCCATATATCCGTCTAAGCTATTCGATTTAAATTTTTAACAAATAATATCATAGCCTCCGTGGCGCAATTGGTTAGCGCGTTCGGCTGTTAACCGAAAGGTTGGTGGTTCAAGCCCACCCGGGGGCGAAAGAATTTTTGATGATTTTAAATTGTCACCCAAGAAAATAAAACGAAAAAAAAGAACAAAATAGTTTTTATCTCCCTATCTATCTATATACACATTATATATATACATATTAATTAAATTGGAGTGTCTGTATGTAACATCGTACTTAAGATGTGTGCGTAGCTGATAATATAAATAATAATAAAATAAATCGTCGTATTTGTTCCGGGACAATTTCCAAAATAGCAAGACCGATTTTAACGAGACTTGATGGGAAGGTGATACACGCGGGCATATTATAGCCTACGCTGCGCTGACTAAGTCGCAGGCGACCGCTGGACTTTGTATACTTTCGATAGTTTTATAAGGATTAAAAAAATTACCTGGTTGGGACAACCTTCAAGCACCATTTCGTTCAGACTGGGATTGAAATATCGACATCTTGCCAACATGATAAAGGCCTCGCACATATCTTCGCTGAAGTTCTTATACACACTAAAAGAAAATTTCAATCATAAATAAACGTAACCGGGGACGAGGGTACCATGAAAGGTGGAGATACTACTTGTCCCATTTAGGCTGACCTTCTATGGTTGTACATACCCATCGATCTGTAGCGCGATATTCCTCAGCTCTGTCATGGCTGCGACTGCAGTCCATTTCATGAGCTTCTTGCCGAGGTTGGCGAGATGCAGCCGATTCCGCATCTGCTGTAACGCAACCAGCGACGGCATGCAAGGGTATCGCGTAACACCGAAAGTGTTATCTTCCTCATCTGTAGACAGACATAGATAATAGAGCCAACAGGATTCAAATTGTCTACTGGTACTAGGTAACAAGTCGTGTAGTATGTGGCTGAATTCTACTTAAAATTTGTTATTTACTATTATCTGAGAAGAGATTTAAAGATATGTGTGAAGTCAACCAACCCGCATTGGGCTAGCGTGGTTGACTATGACCTTGTCCTAACTTAGGGTGGCCTCCGAGCCCCGTATAGTGAGCTAATGATGAATTTGTTTTTTGTTGTTGCTGTTTAAAATTTTGGTAAAGATGTGTTTTTTGCTATCTTATTATATTTAGGTTTTTTAATATGTTGTTTTGTTCTTCGGCGTTACTCTGTGGCTATGGTAGTGTCATTTCGAGGATTTATTGTCCTGCTCTTTACTACTCCTCTGTGGCAATGGTATTCAACGTTCGAGACATTTGAGTCCAATATGTCGTGATAACTCAGTCGGGAGACAGGCCTCTCATGCATAAGGATTTCGGTTTAATCCTCTATCGCTATTTGAATTACAAATCTTTGAATTTATGTATAGAATTTATCATGAGGAACTATACCTATGAAAGGATGGTCTATGGTAAATCTAGTAATGTTTTCTAGATTATTGTCTATGGTAACTTAGAAATAGGATATATTATTTGATAGGCGATTAAGGAATACACATAACCGTCTCCGTGCTTATTTGCTTCTTCCTCATCCTATATGGAATCTTCTTTGAATCCTATGATTCAAAAGAAGCAAATAAGTACCACGCAAAATGTAAATCCATAATTTCTGTCCCTCTGTGTTTTGGGCGTAAGTTATTTGACAAATACGTGATATATTTATGCTTAAATATGAATAAAATGTTTTTGCTACTGTAACTATGTACGATTAATGATAAATTAATTTACCGTCATCTTCTTTGAACATTTTGGATTAGTTAATATAAGTTGCTTCAAAATATGTTTTTTGGCTTATAAATTGCGTTTAAATGTATAAGATCTTGCAGATTATTCACCAGTTACAAAGGAAATTATGATATAGTACAACTTTATAAGTATTTTAAGGTATAGATTTTAGGTTATATTTGCATTGTTAAGGCATTTTTTTCATTAAATTTCTAATCTTGCGCATTTTCACTATATCATTCTTATTTAAATAACTAATATAATAATAAAATAAAATACATTTTGTAATTTTGATTGCCAAATAAATTAATGACAGTTTTATTCTTCTATCAGCAATCGTGTTTTTAAACATTTATTCAAAGAGTTTACAAATGTTTTAGTAAAGTTTGATGTATTCGACCTCTTTCAAAGAGGCTCCTTAGTAGCCAAAGAGTTTCTATAGAAAATATCGAACTGGCCACTAAGAATATTGGACTTTCATTTATATGAAAGCAGTGAGAAAAAAGATCGCTCGGGATACAGAAAATAATTTTGCAATTCAATTAAGAGGATTCGTATTAGATTAGTGATAAAATAGTAAGTAAATTAAGAGGAATAAATATTAAAATTGATCTTTAATTTGCTAAACATCTTGTTTAGAATTTGAGTTTTCACAGGTAGCGTTAAGTTGATGTCTGAATCAATTAAATTTCCAATTTTGAGCAATTAACCTCTCCGACGCGGGCGCGGTAATTCCCCGTAAGAGCGCCGAGCCCACCAGCCTCACTTCTTAATAGGGATTAATTAATATTATAGGGCCTTGAGACTAGAGACTTGTGCTTATGTCAAATTAACGTTTGCTTTCCACTGTCTATAAAATCATATTTTCATCCCTCTCTCTTGCTTTGAAAAGAATAGAGACATCAAATGTTCAATACTATTTTTTCAGAAGTTGAATTTCCCGGGACTTTTATAAATTCTTATAATAATTCAACAGTTTATCTGGGTCGGTAAGAGAAGCGATGCGATACGATAAAGAGTAAAAACTATAATACATACATAGGCGTAGACATAAAAACATGACAAGACAGCATCGGAATAAAAAGTATTTTGTAACATCATTCTAAAAATGCCAACATAAAAATATCTTGTGTTTTTTTATTACAACAAAGGACATCTACAGACTAGATCCGTACTCATTTTTGCACATATTCCTTATGCTAAATTACAATAGTGGTTTTTACAATATAATATTCCTTATCACATTTTTTTTTCTTTTTTATTTTAGTTACAAAAACCTGTGATTATGGAGGTAGCAGCGCAGCATAAGTCGCTCCACAAATCACGTGTTAAACATTATTGCCGGGTGGGTAATGGTTTTAAATACCCTAAACATCTGTAAACTATCTGGTTTTTTTTTAATAATCAGTACGAAGACAATATGGTTTGCGTAGGCGTATGTATGCCTTTGGGTTATTGTTTAAGATAATAATATGCTGTACGCAAGTATTTCTGCAAGGGAAACCCATGGTTATTAAGCTTTTATTGACTTCCCCCAATGTGCGACGTATTCACCTGCCCCAAAATGAAACAGGTCCTCATTATATTGGTTAAAGGGTTGTGATATTCATATGTTTTTAAAGAAGATATTTACTTGTACAGATAATTGTACAATTACATTGTATTTTATTAATTATCATCATCTTAACACGGTAACATAACTTAGTCCAATTTTACGCAAAATTAGTTCTCTTTACTTTTGAAGTATATAATATAAGGAAATTAAAAAGCATTTCAATTTAAAAATTATTATAAGTAAACTTTTAGTACACAGAATATTACTCGCAGTAATAAAAAAATAATTAGTAGCCTATGTGTTCTCCCAAACTATGTTCCACATCAATGCCAAATTTCGACAAGATCGATGCAGCCGCTCTGGAGACCTTCAAACAAACATCCATCCAAACATTCGCATTTATAATATTAGTAAGATAAGTAAGAAGTAAAGTAATAAATATTTTTAAAATCAAAATAATATAAATATTGTGTTATTTAGACGAGCTGCAAATAGAAAAGATCTAAAAGATGAAATGACAATACGTGTGACTCCTTCCTAGATAAAGGTTAGGTTTCAAGCAAGCTGTAAAAGTTCAATGACCCTGCGAGTGCATTCAAGTCCCTCATAGTAACCTAGGGACGTTGTTCCCTTTCAATTAAGAACCCTGTTCTAGGATTATACACGGCTTCCTGAATATCAATTAAACGTTCTAGGATAATTTTTATTTCACACCTCGTTTTCATAGGCTGTCTCTTTCTAACATCTCTTCACTGACGTGACACCCCTAGCTCTCGAGAAACAAAAAGAGCCTCTTAAAAACGACGTAACTGTGCAATAATAATAATAAATCCCTTCGTTCAAAATATAGAATATAGCGACCAATTTACTTAGACCCGCGGCGTCTCTGCTCCCGCTTGCTAAATTATTCCAAATCAGAGGTCGTGAATGGTATATTAGGGTTGAACAGGAATGGTTCTTTTGTAAAGTACGTGTCAGAAGTCTACAATGCCTATTATGAACGCACAAAGACCTGCGGAACCCTCTTTCACACCTCTCAGCTCTTGATTCCGAATGTGGTTTCTTCGCGTTATGTTTATTTCAATTAATTCAAAAGCAAATTATAGGAATTATTGATTTTTTTTTAAATTTTGAAAAGATTTAATATTAGACAGATATTTTAATTAAAAAAAAAACTTTATGCCACTTTTTAAAGAAATTTCGCAAACAGAGGAGAAAGACACAGTTAAAGATAATGCGGAAAACACTTGTACTACTCTAATCAAAAATTTTTAAAAATATTTTATTATAATTATGGTCGAATTTTAACCAATCGGAGACCATTACTTTAATGTAATGTATGTCTTTTAGTATACAATCCTTTACTGATTATAGATTTACTTAAATCTTCACTAAACTCCCTTAGTGGTTACTTACTGACTCTGTACAGTAAATGCGAAGTCGTATTGCTAGTTGCTTTTAAAAATCTGATCGTTCTAAAGGCATTTTTCATAACACATCCATATTCACACCTATCTCCAAGAGAACACGAGAAGTGTGGGACGAGAACGCCCTTACAATTAATTTGTATAATGAACCTCTGTTTTATAAAGTACTTACAGAACAAATAAAAAGAAATCTTATGAACTCGCGCGCTACGGGATGATTGAATTAAAATTCTTAATACGATCCACCTGGGGTTACTTACATATGTTAAGATTGATATTCAATTAACAATTATAATTATAACATAATACTAGCAGTTGCAGGCGACTTTGTCTGTTCGGAATTAAACAAAAAAATATGTTACTTTCGTATAAATAAACTACTTTCTATTATAAGTCGCGTCAAAATCGGTTCCAACCTTTCACAGACTACCGGGAAATAATGCGAATTTGCGAACAGACGAACAGACAGGCAAACATTTTTTTTTTGTTACGAGTTAACGCAATAAGATCATGTGCACAAAATAGATATTTTGATACCACCTACAGGCACTTAAATTTTATTTATCTGTCTAGTCTAGATTCGATTCTAATAGACTAATACATTTATCAGACTATTTAACATCAGCTTCCTTATTAGCTTACTTTGACACGGGGTTAATTAAAAAACAAAACACTACGCTCTTCATCATCTCGAACCAAACATAGATCTTGTTACATCAATTTCTACTCTACGTTGTTGCATTAATTGGTACAGTAATTATTGTACTACGACTGAACCATAATTGTCTTTGTTACCCGAATATACGGCAGTAACCAATACTATAAATATTCGATGTAACAGGTTACATATAAATATAACAGTACATCTACAGTCTAGAGCGTCGCTGGCTCGGGGGTTAAGCACTGGACTTGTAATCTACAAGTCCTATTTTCGAATCCCACCACGTACCAGTGTGTTTTTCGATTTCCATGTGTACATTTATAAGACGTTCGTACAGGAAAACAACGTGATGCAACCTGCACATATCTGAAATAAAATACAAAGTGTGAAATCAACCAACCCGCACTGGGCCAGCTTAGTTGACTATAGTCTAATCACTCCAAACTTAGGGTAGGGTCCAAGCCTCTCAGTGGGGACGTATAGTAAGCTGATAACAGTACATCTATTATATTTGCCTATTACAAACTCATGAAAGGAAATGTTCTTTTTCTTTTTATCCTATCCTCTATCTACTTAGTCCGGAAACACATTTGTATCCTTTTCACTTGCTTCTATGTCATTGTTATAAAGAAAACTAGCTCCAGAATATGAATTATAATTATTAAACCATGTATTTAATAATATAAATTTAAACATCATAAAATTACGAATTTATTATGGCTATAAATATAATGCAATTGAACTTTTATCTCCATTCATAAAATCATCATCGATCGACAAAAAAATACGATGTGTAAAAACTAACAAAAAAATAGATAGCGGCCGCATAAAAATAGATTAGACGCATACACAAAAGTGACACTTAGTTTTTTACGCAGTGGCAAATGGAAATTTTACAACCGTACCACTATCGCGACTTAAGGGTTAGTTTCATTAAATATTAATAAAGTGATTTGAAATGAGCTCCATCGAATAAATTTTACAATTATGCTCATGATGGTAGGATTTCGTGAGTTAGCATCAGGTGTGAAATAATTTAAAGTCGAACACTGACTGAAAATAATTGGTCGCAGGCGTAAAATTTCTAATCCATTTTAATGTGTTTTTTTTTTAATTTAAACTCACACAAAATTACGTAAATTAAAAAAAAAGAAATTCTTAGGAATCTGAATGCATCAAAGCATGCATAATTTTTTTAATGTTAGATACATTTTTTAAAAAATGTCTTAGGGGAAATTTTTTCAAGAAAGGAACCTCTATTCTTTAAATACTGGACCTTCAAACTTGCCATATCATACTTTGTTCATGGATTTCAGTAGGAATTTCTTTTATTTAAAAATTACATCAAATAAATTCATTTTCCGCAGTGCAATCGTAGCTTAAATATAAAATAAAAGCCGGCCATTTTAAAGTTGCACCGCTACGCAGCTGACGTCAAATGCATTCTCTATTCTCTATATGAACGGCCGATCGGTGGAAATTTTTCATTAAAATAAAACATTAAAGTTTCCAGCCCTTGTGTGTTCGCTTCAGGACCACATTGTGGCTTAAAGCTGCAAAATCACACTGGGAAAAAGTAGTAGGACCATATTTTGGCTAAAATCTATAGGACCACATTGTTGCTGACATAAAATAGAGTTTACATGAAGTTACATGGTTTCCTCTTAC